CTGTGCAGCGCTGTGGTGTCAGAGCTTGTAGTTTGCAGTGCCTTGCTGTGTTTGTGAGCCACGGTTGGATCAGAGCATGCTCTGGCGTCCGGGTGGTCCCCCAGCGCTGCGGCGCGGCGGCGTGACGCGGCCCGGAGATGAGGACGCTAATGGCTTTGAGTAGGGCAAGTGCTTTTAAGTTGCGGAAGCAAGCGGAAGCAAGGCACAGAGAAGACGAGCTCGCTGTACGCAAACACTTGAAGGCCTGCTCGGCTTGGTCGCATGCCGGAAAGTCTCTGACATGCTGGGACGTGCCTTCTTTGATTCAGCAGGTCTTCGTTGGAGGACTTCCAGACAAAGCCGACGAGCGAGAGGCAGTCCATTACATGGGTTTGTTACAGAGTTGCGTTCGTCTCGATTTCCGCAGAGATCTCACTTCATCGTGAAGTGACCCGGCTGTTGAGATGCTGTTCAGGTGTTGCTTTCGAACTGCAGCGTTTGGCTTCTTCTCTGTGGATCTCTAGGTGTCTTGCATGTTGGATTCTTCGACTTGTTGTTTGCTCTGCTTCTCGTTTGGGTGCCGCTACCTTCGCCGAGCCAAGTAGATTGGCTCCGGTCGCAGTGCTTTGCTGTCTTTTCCTGCATTGGTGTATGCTGCTCTTCGCGATTGCTTGTTCTTCCAGCTCCAGCCCAGCTCTCCAGACGTTTCCAGAGCCAGAGGCGCCAAAAACTCCAGAGGCACTCAGTCACTCAGGGTTCTCGTGCAGGTTGAGCAGCACTTCACCAAGCGATGCCCTCGTCTTTCAGCAAACTCAGACGACTTGAAGATATGTTGGCGCCAGGTACGGACACGTTGTTCACTGCAATGTCTGCCCTCCCAAGGAGTGCCGCCTCCTAAACTAGCCATACGCACCTTGTCGAAATGCAGGATGGAGAGAAAAACAAGGCTCCGTCAGGGCCTCATGCCCGTGTGTCGAAGACCGACAGTCACTGTGTCCTTTGGCTCTCCTTTCGTCCTGAGGTACGCCTTCGTGACTTTCAGATTTGCTGCCGATGCAGACTGTGCTGTAGTTGACAGACAGGACTTTCCAGGTAGGCTCAGTGCACCTTGTCCTGGTGCCGATGTGATCTGTGACTTTCATGGTGTAAGGTGTTCAGAGGCAACTGGCCATGGGATTTGCCACGCCGAGAAAGAAGGCCTTGTCAGTTTGCGGATAGAAGGTAGATGGCAACCAACTCCTGTTTTGAAAGGACACGGATGAGGAGAAGCAGAAGCAGGACTCAATGCTTAGTGAGGCCGATCCATGCAAGGCCTGAGTGGCTGGCGGCTTGAAACATTCCTTCGATTCTCACAGCGCTTGCAGAGGTCTTCGTGGGTGGCATCGGCGACAGGGATAGTGAGGAGGAGGCCTGTCTGTCTACAGCAGATATGACATGCGGAGATCTTTGCGGCTTTGAGGTAGGCGATTTTTTCTCTCAATGGGGTCTCGTCACCTTGGTGTACAGAGACAGAGCATCGTGGCACCGACCTCATTCCGAGAAAAACCATGTGACATCATGCAGCCACGTGCGGAATTCTGTTTTATTGATCCGAGGGGCTTCGTGCACTTCGCAACGAAAGAAGCGGCCCTGCGCATTCTTGAGGAAAGAGCGGCTCCCAGTTTGCTGCAAGAGCGTCGTGCGAATTTCTTCAGTGTTCGTTTCAAGGCAACGTGGTTTTCCACAGGCGGAGGTTGGACATCAAGGCCTTGATTTGCATACGGGATTGCGTTGTGCCTGCCGAATGCCATCTTCTGGTGCTAAGTTCTCAAGAACTCCCACACCCGACCTTTGATGGTCATGTCGTGGCATATCTTTCAGACAAGCGAGCACCTGCAAGTCTAGAGGTCTTAAGGATGGGAGACTTTGAGATCTTCTATTCAGCATTGTGGAAGCGGAAGCTCGAGAGTCACCATTCTCGAGGTGGTATTCTTGGACTTGATGCCGATACATAGAGCACAGCCTGAGTTGTGGTCGGCATGCTGTTTCCACAACGCGCTGTTTCCGAGCTTCTTGCCTGTAGCAATCTCTCCTAGCAGAACTCTCAGGGCTATGTTCTGCCAGTACGGTCTTGGCAGGTGCGTGTAGATCCGCAAGACATTCCCCACGGATACGGTTTGGTGCCAAGGGAAGAAGACACAAGCAAAAAGGGAGCATAAGGGAGCGCTGCGTTCGGGAGGACCCGGCGTGGGGAGAGCGGAGGGGTGGACGAGCGCCGCTTCGTCTTCCGCTCGCGGTTCTCAGACGCTGTAGAGCTGGCCACTTTAAAGCTGCGCGCGGGAGAACCCGGCGTAGTAGAGGCGGGGTGCTGGACCGAACTGGCCGGTCTTGCTCCCGTGGCCTCCTGTACTCTACCGCTTTGTTTCCGGGATGCAGGGCTTTTCTCCCACAAGTGTTTTTTTCCCTGCATCGGACAGTGCTTGAGCTTTTACACTTTCATGATGTCTCCTGCAGAAGGGAGATGCCGCGTTCTCAGACCCGAAGTAGAGCGGGACCACAATGCGCTGGGCCCGGGCCCGACTCGAGCACTGCGACATCCGATTCAAGCACCGGCAATCGCCTAGGCACCCGCGATTCAAGCACACAACAGCGGTTCGAGCACTGCCGATGGCAGCACCAAAGCAGATTCGAGGACGGCAGGTTCAAGTACTCGCGATTCAAGCACCAGCCGATTCGATCACTCGTTCGAGGGTTGCAGGTTTTTGTGGTGCAATAGAAGTTTCGGCTTTAGGGTTTGAGTCTTGAGGTTTATGTTTTAGGGTTTTCGGGACTTTAGGGTTTGGGGAGTTTAGGGTTGCTAGGACGTTTGGTAGCTCAACAGCAGGCCTGGCACGGAAAAGGATCTGACCACGGCCAAGCAGCGATCTTTTTGTGGGGGTCAGGTGTTGTGCTCTGGCCATAGCACATACTCGTTTAGGGGTGGTGGGCTTGCTTCCCACTCTATGCTTCTTGTGTTTCAGGTTTTGTGGAACAGTCTTTTGGGGTTCTTCACGACAACGAGGCAACGGCCCAGTTTACTTCGAGCGCAATTTAGGGTTGGATCTAGGATTTAGGATGTGGCCCCGTCCTGCTGTGTTCTGCCACTCCTTTTGGGAGGTGCAGGGCCTTCGCGAATCCAAAGCCCAGTTCCCGAATGCACCCTCAGTGCGGTCTTTCCAGTTCGCGAATCGATCTCTCGAACGCACGATTGGGTGTTCCACGATTCCACCCACGGATGAAGGCAAGACGATGTTGGTACTGCTGTATGCGTACACGGCTTCATGTGTGAGTTGGTTGAACACACGCTGAACAATTCTGTTACCCTTGCTCATCCAAGTCCCGAGCTAAGAATCGCAATGAAGTGCCGTTGACGCTTAGCGCTGCTTTGAAACGTTTTAACATTCGTCGTGGAGGTTGGGGAGAGGGAGGCGCCTTAGGGCCTAGGGGCAAGACATGGCGTGGGAATGTTCCCAGCTTCCCAATCTTGCGCGAGTTCGGGATTCTCGAAGCAGGGAGTTGTCTTTCTCTTGAGAGCTGACCGCGGCCAAGTGTCAGCATGGTGGAAGGATGTGGAATGCACATTGGGCATGGGTGCAGTGCTAGCCCATCCTGAAGACGGAAGAAAGTTTGTGTCTGTGGGACTTGCGACAGTCCAAACTCCTGCATGTCCGTGCCTTGCCAGAAAGCTTCGGAGTCGAAGAAAACGATGAGCGACGATGAGAGGCCTTGAAGTGTGGCTGTTGACTGGAAGCCGAGCTCACTCGTCTTAAGGTACGACTTGGTGAAGCGTGCTATAGCCAGGTTCGCCTGCCAAGCATCATTCAGAGTGGTCTCTGCAAGCGTAGCAGAGGCATTTTCACAAGAAAAGCGTCCAGCATGCCCCACCTCCAGGACCGTGCAGCCAGACATGTCAGCCGAAGGGAGCCTGAGCTCGAATTGCAGGCTATCCACCGCCCGGTGGCTATTACCCGTCCGCGGCTTTGTCTTGTGACTGCCTTTGAGGCTTTGCCGTGTGGCCTCGGAGAGACCTCAGGCCGCCACCAGGTTACTACGGTGCCCCACCACCAGGCGCCTGCAGGGTCGCCCCAACTTCACTCTCGTATCCGTGTCTGCATGTCTTGTGTTCTGAAGGCTATCCCGGTTACCCACCTCCCAGTTACCCACCGCCTGGCTATCCACCGCTGCAGCCCGAAGGTTTTATCTTGTCGATTTCTGTGGAGTGCTGTAGCAGCTTAGGTCAAGTGCGTATCCTCCCGTCTACGGCTCCCAGTTTGGGCCATGGCTTTCGCAGCGGGAGGGGTAGAGCGTGGGAGCAACCTAATAATTGACATGTTGCACCTAGGACACACAGAGATATCACAGTGGTCAGTCCGCAGCTGCCTATACTCACTAGAAATACTTTCCCTGCTGCCACTGTTGCTGGTGCTACTCGTACGAGTACTTGTGCAAGTACGAGTTCTCGTACTAGAAAGCCTGAGCAGAAAGTTTGGAAACCCCGATACCTTTGAACCACTTGAAACGACGAGCGGCACAGTCGCCACGACAAAAGGCTATATAAGGATAACAAGAAGCATCGGCCAACTTGATTTGTGTTGTGGCGAGAGGCGTTTCCTTTGAACCCTTGTTGTGCTAGATTCGATGATTAGATCAACAAAGGGGAAAACAAGACCGTTTGCGAAATCTTGGAATTGATTCCTGAGGCCACCCCCCGGTGGGCACTATGCCGCGTCCTGCGCCTATGACCATGGAGCCGTGTGCTCACAGAAGTGGGCAATTCTAGTCAAGGCTTCCACCTTCTGGTCCGCCACCACCCCGGGAAGGCCCTTTACCGCATACAATCTGTTTTGCCGCTGTCCGTGTCCGGTCGGCCCGGAAGAGTGACAGCGACCCGTCAGCGCCAGCGCCCTCGCCGGCCGACGACCCTTACCGACAACCAGCAGGCTCAGCGGCTCATTTGGATTCGTGCACAGCGGTCTAACCGCTTGTCGAAACCATACAAGGAGATCCTTATGCTGCATATGGCAGGGCACGGGCCTTCACAGTACAGCGTACTGATTGTAGAGGAGAGGATGAAACGTTGGAGCGAAACTTGTTGAAGTTCACGCATTCCAAGGACAGGGATCCTTACTCTGGCCGCTCGGCATGTTCATTGCACTCCGGCGATGACGTGGTATGTGCGCGGGACGCCTCTGAGGCTACGACCGCGACAGGGAGCACGATAGGTATCGTCGACCAGAGGCAAGTACGCTGCGGGAAACGGATCCGGCGACGCCGCATCGCCGCATCCCGCTTGACGAGGACGCTCCGAGTCGTGACCCTTACGCACACCTATCAGGCTGGTGCCACACACACGAATTAGAGCAGTGATTGTATGCACACTTGCCTATCGCTCAAGCATGCTCAAGCGGTACAAAGGCGGCTATTATGGACCACCTCCTGGACAGCCCGAAGGCACAACCCCTGCTGAGCCATGCCAGCCGTTTCTCCAGCGAATATGATCGACCAGCGTGTTTGTAGCTTGTTTCTTATTGCGGAGTTTTTGTTGGAGTGAACGAGCATCTTGGCACGAGGTGCTCCTCCGCCTGCTGGTGCGCAGCTTGTCGCAGGGATTGGCTGGGGTGCCGCTTCGTGCTCTGGCTTAGGTGTGTACGCATCCTACGCTGTCGACCCAAGATATGAGCCCAGGTGCGCATATCTTTGTGGATTCTTGGACACATGTTGTCGCTCCGACTGTCTTGCTGCCCTGGGGTGGGAGGTATCAGCCTTACTGAGCAGAGAGGCACAAAGTTGACCTTCGCAAGCGGATTCAAAAAGATGCACCAGTCCAGGCTATTCTAACCCCTACGTTTCAGTCTTCGCACCAACACGGTCGCACCTTCTCCGGCTCGCATCCACGTGCTAGTTTCCCCGTGACGCGGAGCCCTGCTTGCAGAGCTGCGGGGCGCTCGGGCTTTGACGAGGAGAGCGGTGGGACCATAGGTTTCTCCGTGATACAACCTTGGCTTTGTTTCAATGCTTTGGCACTTGGTACTCACCGAAGACATCTATGACGAGTCCTGCAGTCACGCTCGGGTCTCCCCGAGAAGTCTTGCCAATGTCAGCTTCAGCAATCTCGGTCCGCAGGTCTTGCATGTCTTGCAGGGCTTCCTTTGTCAATCCATGTCTCCATCACTGTCGCGGTCGCAATCGCTCAGGAAATGGATTTGGGCTTCGCAGGACGGGCCGGCGGTCCAAGTGTGGGCTGGGATGTGTCTGCGCTTTTTGCAGGAGCCCTGCCTCGGTGCGTTTGGCTTTCGCGAGCTTCGGGCGAAGAGGCCGGTCTTCCGCCGCCACGGCGTCGGGAGCCCTCGGTCGACCGATGGCCCCGATGGCCCTGGCCGCCTTGGCCATGGGCCGCACTCCCGCTCTGGGCCCCGCTCTCCGCCGGCCGCGGCCGAAACGCTCTGCGTCGACGGCTCTCCAAGGCTGTCAGTTGCCGATGAAAGCGCTGCCAGTATCGCCTTCGGATGCTTTCGGCATCTGGCGGCCACCTTGCACTGCTTGCGCTGCCGGCACAGGTCACAGACGCCTCCTTCGTGGGAGTTGGCGTGCGGCGCAGAATCCGTGCCGTGGAACCAGACTCAGTTCTGTCCAGCGAGATTGACATGATGTGCAGTGCCGAAGTCACTACCAGGCTCGGCAGGTGAGGCTGCACAAAGCTTCACGGCGTGCCGCAGACGCGCCGGACGAGGCAGTGCTGTAGTTATAGTGCAGTACTGCAGTACGGGTAGCAAGTCAGCCCTGCAGGGCGAAGTTGAGTCAACCGATATGAGTTTCCTCCAGAAGCTGATTCAGAAGCAGAGGGAGGCAACAGAGCAAAGAGCTCAGTCGACGCAGCAGCTGTGTCAAAGATCTCACAACATGCCTCCGAGCTACAAGGATAGGCATATGTACCGAAGACTGGCATCCGGATCTGTTTGATGATGTCCCTGAAGGCAGTCGCGCAAGCTTGTTGCTGCAGGTTAGCAAGTGCTGTTGGCCTGCCAGGTTACCGGGATGCTCTCGAGGCCGGGATTGACTTGGTAGACGTGCTCGCCAACGGCAATGCTTTGAAGCTTTTGGTGGCTTGGACTGCAGAGTCTGGCGGCAGATGCTCAGAATCCCTGGAATCCTTGCGTTTTCAGGCATCCACGCCTCCAAAGGGATCCACACCTCGATTCTCTGTTCGAGTTGCGCCTAAACCAACATTGGGACTGGCGCCGAGACACTAGACCTCTTGCATGTGCAATTTTGCTTGATGCTGCACTCTGCTGCGGCTTTGGCTTATTCTGTAGCCCCAGGATTGGGCTATATGGTCCACAGAAGTCTTGTGCAGCATTATACGGCTGGGTTTGTGCAGTTTCCATGTTCTGTGCTCCGATCTCCGAGCTTTTCTGTGCAGGTTCTCAGCCCGCTGCAGCAAACCATGAAGAGGCCTCTGAACTACCTGATGCGACCATGCATGTGACTGCATGTGTGCTACTCTGCGGCTGAGGCTGAATGTCGGGGAGATCGAGACCTTGACCATACACAGCGTGGGTCAAGGTTTGCATCTTCTTCGCCAGGCAGGTCAGGCATTATGTGGCATCTCCGACGCTCAGGACGAATGCATTTTCCCTTCTGGGTGCCTTGGATGGGATGTCCCAGGCTTGGAGCTTTGCAAAGCCACGTGCCACGTCAGGTCTACGATGCCGTTGTCGAGGCCTACCAGCCCGGGACCTGGCATAGGGCCCGAGACAGCCGAGCTTCACTGCCCGTCACTGCCCTTGCCCCTCCTGTTCTGAGGAGCTTAGGGCCCGAGACCGCCAACTTCCGCCTGCCCCCCTGAGGAAAGGGCTTTGCTCGCGGATCGGCGTGAGCCACCCAAACGCGGACATCAAGTCCGTTCTGCAGGCCCGTCAGGACCGAAGCTGACGCCTTTCCGGAGGTGTTTTTCTCATGTTGCTCTTTCTCCCGTGGCTACGAACACTTGTTCAAGCAAGCTTTGAGGAGTTGGAGAGGCGGGGTGCCACGCTGCCTGGCAGCATATAGAAAACTGTCAGAACATGCTGAAGCCACACATTGCTTTGAGGTTGTCTTGTGCTGGTGGCTCAGAAACTAGCGAGGGAGGGACCGAAACAGTGCGAGGTGCTCTTCTCTTCGCATCTGTTCGTTCTTTCACGAGACCCATTGTTCCCAGAGAAGCAACGACAGTCACACGGCCGAGGAAAGTCAAAAAGAGGGAGGCCACAGTCAAACAGCCAGGCCGCAGTCAGCAAACGGAACGGAGGCGGGGAGCACAAACAAGACGGGCAAGAGTCAACAAACAGCAACATCCAGAACACAAACAAGCAAACAGCCTTACAACCCCAGGTCTCGGGTCCCCTCGCCCGCAAGCTCGCAGCAGTGGCCCAGCCAAAGCGCGAGCGTTATGCGTATCGCGCGGGTCATACGCCGAAACCGTGTTTCCGCTCAGCAAGAGGCGGGTCAGGATCAGGCAACCAGACGTCCAAGACATGATGGAACCTGAGATGGCGTTTTCGTGCATTGCACCTTTGGAACGGTGTCGGGATCAGGACACGGGAGGGGGTTGGATGACACGGGGGTTTCGAGAGCCTCCCTCCTCACCCCTCTTCCTCCCCTTGATCCCCGAACAGTTTTCCTCCCTGCCTCCCTTCCTCCTTCCCCGTCCTCACCATTGCTGATGAGGCCGTGGAGGTCCATGTTTTCATCGGCTCTGAGAAGAGAGCATCCATGGCCCAAGCACGATGAGGTCCAGGGTTTCATCCGTTCTGAGAACAGGGCACCCATGGCCCAATCATGAGGACGTCTATGCTCTAATTCGTGCTGAGGAGCAAGGGCCCAACCATGTCCTTTCTGAGACGAGAGCATCCATGGCATTCCATGGCCCAAGAATGATGATGTCCAGGGGTTTTTATCCGCTCTGAGAAAAGAGGCCCAATCATGATGACCTCATTTGTGCTGCAGCTGCGCATCCGGGCCCTTTTCCTGTTTCAACAACGCCAAGCCAGGGTTTTGAGTTTAGGCTTTAGGAGGTAGGGGTGTAGGTGGTTTGGGTTTTGGACGTAGGGGTGTAGGGCAGTATCGGGGTTGAGAGGCTTGCGGTTTTTGGTTTCGGGTTTAGTAGTTTAGGCGTTTGTTTTGGGGTTGTGGGTTGAGGGTTGTAGGAGTTTGGGGTACAGTGCTTGCCAACTGAAGCGACGCGCCTCGACCCAAAGGCCGCCCAGGTCTATTCGGGTTTCTTTTTGTCCCAAGCGGCACGTCTGCAAACCATAGGTCAACCTAACACTACACGGTCTTTGGTATGTAGATGAGTCAAAGCTGGAGCACGATGCATCCAACAAGTCAACAGCATTTTTTTACAATTGCATCTGGCCACCAAATCCGGGGGCAATGCGCAAAGGCCAAAAGCGACATTAGGATACATGCTTTCTGGAAGCCCCATTTGCCTCAAATTTTTCATGTGCGATCCTCGGATCTGGACTATTACGTATCAAGCATGCTTGGTTTTGACATTTACAGCGTTTCGGGATGCTATAAAGAATTGAGCTCTTAGTGTTTTAGCTCAGCTCAGGGATGGTTCCTGTGTTTACTCAGGGTTGTTTTGGACGTACTCATCCCCGCGGCCCCGCTTGGGTTCAAGCATACAACACGCAACAGTAGCTTGCTTTTAAAAGCTTTCCCACCCGCCCACACCTTTGGAGCATGCTTTCAGCGCAGGGAGCTTTTAAGTCAGAGCCCGCTACGCTTACTCATGTCGCTTCTGCTGCTTTACTTGTATTCTATCGCTTGTCTGCTTCGCTGTTTCCAGCTTACATGTCGATACCGGCTTTTGCGACTGCTCCGCTGCTTCAGCTTTCAGCTCCCGGATATATCGAAGATTCGTCTGGGACACACTTCAGAGACCGAGCAGCATCGCTGCACCGGCAAGCCGAAGAAGAGGAGTGCTCGTAGAGTGTTGCGTGTTTCAGCTTTACCGGTTTTGCATAGCACATACCTCGCAGTAGCCTTTTGGGTGTTGCGTGGTGTAGTGCTGTCCCGAACTCAGGATCTTACGGTTTTAGGGCCCTTGAATTTGAATGGTTCTAGGATGTTAGGAGTTTAACATGTTGGAGTTTAGGACTTTGGGTTTTGTTGTGTCCCACGGAACCCCACAGGAAAACATGCAGATTTCGCAGTTGGGGCTCTTTTTGGGAAGAGCCTCTTCTCGGCCACCCTGATGTTTCAAGAGCTTACGACTCTCGGACCTGGGATTTTCGAGTTTAGGGTTTCGAGATTTTAAGTATTTAGGTGTTTCGGGGCCTGAGGTTTTTAGGGGTTAAAGGGTTTGAGGATTGGCAAAGAAGACCTTGGATTTCGGATTTGAGAAGTCTGGATTTTGAAATGTTTTACGATTTTGGCACGCTCAGGGCTTTAGCATTTTTGGGATTTTAGCGGTTGTTTTTTTTGAAATGGTTTTAAACTGTTTTTGGGTGTTGTGTCGTTTTAGGATGATTTTTGGGGTGTAGGACTTACGGATTTGGGGCTTTAGGCTGGTTACCGCTTAAGGATTGTAGCGGTCGTTTGACGTCAGTCCAGGGGTGATTCTGATGGTTTAGAAGTTTCGGACTTTGAGAAACAATAGGATTGTTGGCACTTCCATTTTTCGAGGGCTTTAGAGTTATGCATTATTTACAAGCCCTTACAGCCTTTAAAGCCGATGAACTTCTGCGTGCTGTAAACAATCGCACTCGAATCTAGCTCTTTCTTCGTGCTAGAGATTGGGCACACCTCGCTCAGCCAGATTGTCGCTGTGCTGACTTTGGGGCCCGTCGCCAGAGCCTCGGCAAACTCGTTTCGGTCCGTGGGCTGGCCGTCAGCCAAGCATAACCTGCTGAGCGAGGTGAGGAACAGCTGCGGAGTCCAATGACGAAGGGACGGGGCAGACAGGGTTGTTCCTTCAGCTCCTGTGCTTCGGATTTTGCAGGTCGATGCGTCTGCTTGGAAGAAAGGTCCCGAGGAGGAATGAATGATACATCATCGAATTTGGAATCAAGTTCATGTGGGACGTTTAGCAGACCGAATGCACCTTGTGGAACCCTAATTCGTGCTTGGGATTGGATACGTTCATGCAGCCAGTCTGTCGCTGCGCTGATCTCGGTGGCTGTCGCCAGGTGTTCGGCAAGCTCGCGCACACTAAACGGCCGCCAACTAAAACTGAATTCGTTGAGCAAGGTGAGAATATTAGGCTTCTAGGAGGCTCGGGGTTTAGGAGTTGCGGATCTGAAGGGCTTTTGGATGTAAGGATCATTGGGCCCTAGGGATTTAAGGTTTTGGGGCTTAGGCGATTGGGGTTTTAGGCTTTTAGAGGTTTGAGTGATTGGGATTTTTGCGGCTTTAGGATGTTAGGTCACTAAGGATATTTTGTGCTTCAGGGATTTAGAATTTTGGAGATTTAAAAACTTTGAAATGTTCAGGGCTTTTAGGAGATTATGACTTTGGCGTCTTGCGGGTTTTGGGATTTTTATGGTTTTGATTAGGATTTTGGGGGTGTTTGTATTTGGGGATTTGATCGGTTTTTTGGTGCCGGCCTTTACGGCTAGTGAAGCAGACTGTCAATGCACTGATCTCGGTGGCCGTCGCCAGCTGCTCAGCGAGCTCGCTTCGGCCTGCTGGCTGGCCGCCAGCTAAATCGGGCCTCGCTCGAGTTTTACAGGTGTAGGTTAGGGAGTTTAGTGACATTACGGCGTGCATGTTATGGACTCGTGGATGCCTCGCTAGAATGTGCCGCACTGTGGACGAGTACCTTGAAGAATTAGGGTTGGAGACATGCGCTTGGCTCTGGATGCTTATCGAAGCTAAGTGCCTGTTTTCTGTTTATCTATCTTATAGAGTGCACAAAGCTCAGATTCATCGGGTCTTACTCTTCGCAAAGCCTATCGCAGCTTCCTTTTCAGCGGGTGATGGGGAGACGCACAAGTTCTTTGAGTGCAGAGCCCAGGTGCCCCGGATTGAGGCCGGGCTTGCCTTAGCCAGGAGCGATGCAGATCGCACTGTCCCGACGCACGGATCCAGAGAATGATCGGGAAAAGACCCAGCTCCGGGCTTTGTGCACGCAAGAATCGCAGGGATGGAGGTTCCACACAGGGAATCCTGATAAGAATAGGACTTGCTGTCGTGCTCCAAGACGAACTAGGCCCAGGCCGCGTCTCTCGCTAAAAGTTTGAGCCTTCTAATTAGTTTGAGAGCTGGCGGCATTCATCATGCTCGTTTTCCGACTGCGGGTTTGGGTTTCCGGCTGTGGTTTTTTTCTACTTGTGAAGTTTCTGATGTGGGAGCTGGCGGCAAGCAGCTTGCTGGTTTTCCGGCTGGCGGCGCCATTTTCTGGTTGTAGCCCTTTAAGCTTTCAAATTTTCTAATTCGGGAGATGGCAGCAAGCAGCGTAAAAGGAATACGAAGCGAAGCGCTAGCTGATCCAACGTTTTCCGTGGTGCATCTATTTGAATTCATGAAAATTTTCATTTTACCCTCTCATTTTTCGTTTTTCCTTTTATCTCAAGGACTTGGAAAAGGGGAAGGACCCCGCAAAGAGGCTCTATTGCTCGGGCTTGGTTTGTTGTAGACCGCAAGCTCTGCTGCTTTTCTTGCATTTGATTGGCTCTTCGAACGAACAAACGCAGGGATCTAAGTAAGGCCTTCGAATCAACACGGGTGAATCAGCAAGAAGTATCTGGAATCTGAATTCGGCTCGTGCTCGTCGAGCACAAGCTGCAGTATCCCTGAATCATTTTGAAAGAGAGAGACCGGAAACGAGACTTTGCGCGTTCACCCTTCCAAATCCGTGAGAGATGGGGGGGTTGGGGGAGGCAGCAGAGCAGTACAGAAGCAAGTGCCAGTGGAAGCAAGCCGGACGCATGCGCGGGACCGTGAGGTCTTCGTCAAGCTGTCCTTGTTGCAACGAGAGGCTTAGCTGGGGTGCGGAAAGCAGGGTGTGACTTGTGTGAGACCGCTCGAAGCCTGCAGCAGGCCGCGCAGCTGGTCAAAGACTGCCGTGCTGAAGGTTTACAGGCCTTTTGCATGGTGCTGCATGAACCATGTGGCCAGCAGAGCTAGCGCTAGTGTCATGAAACGTTAGACCAGTGGACAGGTTTTCGCTACAGAAGTTCTCGGACCGGACGAGCTTGCGCCTGCACCCATGTGCATCCAAAGTCGCTGGAAATTCTTCGCTGAGACATCAGGTCTGGGCGCTATACTGCGGGCAATCCCACAGGCCCTAGAACGAAGATACTGCACTGGCCTGGCGAAGGTTTTGACTTTGTTTGCAGACATGAGGTGGTGAGATTTGCGTTCCCCGATTTACTCCAGCGCAGCTCATGCCGTGTCGCTCTTGGAGAAATCAGATTGTGCAGTTTTTGTCGGAACTGCGAGCAGTCTAGGCTCCGGCCGCTTCACGATGCTTTGGAGGAAATCGCGCGGGGCTTGAGGCAGGATAGGCATCTGAAGACGAATTATGCCATCTCACGAGCTGCATGCAATGTTTGCTTCTTTGATGTTTGATGGAAGCATTCTCCGCTGGTCTGATCTAATTAGTCAATAACCAGCCGTACCAATCCGATGCGTTGACGTTCATGGGGATGTTGGGTGGGGTGTTCCGTGCAGGTCACGCTGTGAGAAGCCAGAAATCGACACCACGCAGGCTGGACCGGGATTGGCATGCCCAGCAGCTCTTCGCGAATCGCGTGCAGGTGGCGATGCAGTGGGTCATCAGCAAAGGTGCTAGTCCACTTTGCGACGTGCGCACCTACAGTCCACTTGTGCTATAATTCAACGCTGAGCAGAGCATGTTTCGTTTGTTAGAGGTCACGACTTCGAACAGTGCCAAAGCAATTGCCGGATGCAAAGGCAGACCCCGAGAAAATAGAAAATGCGACAGCTGTTTGCCCCGAAGAAGGTCCAGACGGGTGGAAGTTGACGCCTGAGGAAGAAGCACGGTCAGAGCCCAATCACACACGCTTCGTTCATGCCGACACACACACACAAAGAATTTGCTTAAACCTTACACCGTGTCTGTCACAGCCGAGTCAGCAGCAACAGGCTGGATGAAGCAGCCGACGAAGTTGCGAAGACGCGCAGAAGGCGAGTTCGCCTGCACAGGTCTGTCAGTCTTCGGCAACTCGACGCCAGGTGGTGAGAGCAACAAAAGAGGCTGGACCCGATGATGTTGGCCTTGGTGTTGGATCCCCCTTGGCCGCAGCTCAAGGCTCGAGGCATCGGCTCTCTCGAGGCGCAAGCCTCTCGGCCTCTCGCTGCCTTCGCCTTCGCATTGCCCGAATGAGCAGAGCTCCAAAAGGTCCCCCCGGGTCACCGCACGGGTACCAGATCGGGTGTTGGGTTTGCAGTGTGGGGAGCGGATGGATGCGAAGCAACAAAGTCAAGTTGCCCTTTTCGTTTTGCCCGTGGCAAGCCGAAGGGATTTGCATCATCTTCTCACACAGCGGAGCTCAAGAAAAAGCTGAACTTTGGTCACCAAATCGGCCATGTGCTTCATCCTGTGGTTTGAAGACGGAAATACGGACTTGAATAAGGTTTCTAGAGGGAAAATACAGAATTGAATAGGTTTTCAGAGGGGAAATGCAGAATTGAATAGGTTTTCTGAAGGTTTGCACACAGTTATCTCTTTCTCTACGATTGGGACGAGATGGGCCCACAAAGTTAACTAACCTTTGGAGGTCCGGAGCTGCGTTTGAAGACTTTTGCTCGAGAGCCTGAGAGGCAAAGGCACATGCAGGCTCGAGGCTCGAGGCTCCAGGCAGTTGGAATACATACTGCAGCAAGTGAATAGCTGGAGCATCGATTTGGAATGGGACACCATGTTCCATCATCCTTCTCCGGAGCATGCACCGTTTGAAGTGTGTTGAGTTGTGACCTCGGTGATAGAGTGACCTGTTGCGCTGCAACCTCATGTTCGTGCATCTGAAGACCCTTCTTCTCAGGAAGGAACATGGGATACGAGCCCTGCTCGGAAATCAGTCCGGCAGCAATCTGAGACCTTCCCGGATTCATACCCACATTGAGTGCAGCAGTTGGCACGAGTGCCTTTGAGGAATGCCAGCCTGACAGAGGCACCACTGCAAGATCTGAGCTTGCTTTTCGCTGTTAGCTTTTGGTCCTGGAGGCTGGAGCTTCGTCGAAGGTCGGAGCTTGGTCGAAAGCCAGAGGCGTGTGATCTTCCTCATGTGAAGGTTTGGCGAAGCTGAGATGTCCTTGCTGCGGCGAGTGCTCGACCAAGCACACAAGAGGAGAACTGACAAAAACGGCTACGACTGCGCCTCGAAAAGGCGGCAGAAAGAGCAAAACGAGCAGCAACTTCAACACGGCGATGTCTTCGTTCGTTTGGAAGGCGCCCGCCAGACCCAAGCACGAACAGTTTTGAAGTCGCAGACACGCTGCGGTCTACTCTGTTGCTTTTGGAGGTGAACAAACCTTTGAGGCACGCTTGCTGGGTGATCGTTTTGCGGGGTTGTCGTGAGGCGACCGTGCAGTGGACCGGCATGAAGGAAAGACACATTTCTCACTGTTTATCTATCTATCTATCTATCTATCTATCTAAGTGTTTGTCTGTCTGTCTATCTATCTAGCTAGCTATCTACCTGTATATTGTGAATAAATCAGAAACGGAGAGACAATGAATTCAGTCAGAATAAACAAAACTTAGTGGTGTTGGTAAATAAGTAGCTATATAACTATGCTCTTCAATCAGATGTAGGTTAGTTGGGATTTAGAGATCAGTCTCCTCGTTCGTTAAAGCAGCTCTCATCTGCGATGGCCGTGTCCATTTTGGTTCAAGGCGATCGCCCGAAGATGCCCGAAGATTTTGATCGTTGAAGCATTTCTGCTTGGGGCCTGGGAGTGCTGATCATGTCCTTCCCTCCGGTGGGTGGTCCTCAGCACTAGTAGTAGCAGCAGCAGCAACAGTGCAAAGCACGCCGCAGCCCAGCCCCACAGCCCTTCACAGCCCCACCCCCAGCGCCCAGCCCCCCAGCCCCCCAGCCCCCCAGCCCAGCCCCCCAGCACCCCAGCACCCCAGCACCCCAGCACCCCAGCACCCCAGCACCCCAGCACCCCAGCACCCCAGCACCCCAGCACCCCAGCAACAGCAACAGCAACAGCAACAGCAACAGCAACAGCAACAGCAACAGCAACAACCACCACAACCAGAACCACAACCACAACCACAACCACAAGCATGTTCTTTGACCGCGTATTTGTCGACTGCACTGTTTGGGGTCTTCAGTGGTGTATTTTAGAGTCCCAGCACGAGCCGTTATTTACAATTCGAAAGTGTTCAGATTCTTGGAGCATCCATTTGGAGCATCCATGTCGCATTTTTGTCACTGTGTAGAACTTCGGAAGGCCTTTTTTCAGATCGGTGAGCTGATCGGGCACGGCACCTTCGGGAAGGCCCGGGAAGGCTTTGCTGGAAGCCTCGGAGACCCCTAACGTGTTTGGCCATGCGCAGGTCTACTGCTGCCGCTTCCGAGCGAGCGACCTCTGCGCCGAGCGCTTGGGGAGCACCAAAAGCGCAACCCTGGCCAGAGCCGCAGCCGAGGGGCGCAACATTCTGTGCACTGGCCAAGGTGAAGGTCGTAGCCACGACCGGGCGCCACGCTGCGCGAGCCAAGTGCTTGGATCGAGAAGGTATGGTGATCTGAGTTAGTGTTCTTCCAGAAAGGCTGCAAAGCTGCCGAATGATGAGAAGCTCCAGCTTCTCAGGAAGCTTGGCACGTTTTTCAACTTGTCGGCTGCATGTCAGAGCATCATTCGTGACCAGGCGCATTGCTTCAGTGCAGCATCCGAACATCGTTCGATACCAGCAGTTTCTTCAAAGCAACGATTCTTTGTGGTAGCCTTGGGCATCCGTATCGAGAAGCACAAATCGTACTTACCGCACGGCAGCAGGTACGTGGTGATGAGTCGGTGTTTGGGGCCGGATCTGGCGGAGCACTTGGAGGCACTTTGAGCTGTACGCCCGTTTGTGGCCACAACATCCTCCATTTCAGAAGCGACGACCTGCGTGAGGCTGTGGGGCACCTGAAGCTGCAAGACCTCAAAGGCCTCTCCAGGCCGGAACGCGGCCAAGCGGAGAGCCGAGAGCCGCCGAGAGCCGCCGAGAGCCGCCGCCGGAGCTTTCGGAGAGCTTTGAGAGAGCGTGTGGATGCGTGTGGCGGATGCGTGTGCGAGCGAGAGGATGATGCTTTCGGCGATCGCAGCCGTTCACCAGTGTGGCAGCGCTCTCGGAAGCGCTTGAGCCTCTTTCGTTGCGCTGTGCTTGAGCCCTGCAGGCTTGATGCACCGGGACATCAAGCCTGTCCCGTCCTCTGACTACCCTCACAGACTTAGCTAACGACTAAGCGGCTTCACTGCGAGGAAAACTTTCGTTTTCGAGATCCAAGTGCCACGACCTTACAGGCGCCCAACAGTCTCCCGTTTGTAGACTCATCCGAGACATTCGTGGTGGTTTTCCACTTGTGCTTCTCGTTGTTCTGTTAGGACTGTTCACTTGCATCTTTGGTAATAGCAAACTACCAAGTAAGTTAACTGAATGCATACCTGTATCATGTTTTGCTTCCGTGTCGCACGTCATCCGTCATGGCCTGGAATCAGAGGAACAAACGAAAGGCTCCCAGTTGCAAGAAGCTTCGTGATCTCCCACGGAAGTGGCTGAATCACCGGGTGACGGCATCATTAAGTCTCCTGCTCCCTGTCCTCGTCGCACTTACAAGAGTGCTCAGGGTTGTCTGAACGGTCGTATCTTGTAGCTGTGAAACCTGGAGACTTCAATTCATCAAGTGTCGGTAGCTCACGTTGTCCAATGATGTTGTCCCGCCGTCGAACCACGACACGCAGCCCGTGTTACGGTATTTCTATCAGTGCATGGTCGCAGACGAATCAGCAGATCAACATATTCGTTTCGAATCCTGCGGTAGAGCAAGCAGTAGAAGCTCAAACGGAGGCCAGAAAGCCACGCAGATACGCGGATGCTGTGCACCAGCACCGACATGCACCGATTTTCTTTTGTCAGGCAAAGCACTGAGGTTTCAGACGAACCATGAACTCAATCTTCAGCGCTCGGGAGCTTCGTGCGAGTATGCCAGCATCTACAGGTCCGAGCACAGCTCAGGAACAGCGAGACAGAAGTCCATCAAGTGAGAGAAGCAGCTTCACTTCTCATTGCACGCAATCGAAGTTCATGAGCGCACAAACATCCAGGATGAGCTCATTGGACAGCAAGAGTTCGCATCCGCGTAGCTGAGACTGTGTTTGCAGTTCGGCGACACGTCGTACAATTTCCGCAGTGCACAATTGGAGCTCTCTCCGTGCACACAGGCATGTCCATTTGCAAGCATTGCTCCTTCGGCTGTGGCAACGCGCAAACATCTTTCTCCGTGCGCAAGGACACGTGTTTATGGTTGCACGCGGCACATAAACATGCAGCTGCATCAGCAAACCTGCTGTGTTCTTGCGCGGGCACACGTGGATTATCGTGGCTTTCTCTCTATTCGCAAAGAGATCGACATGTTCATGCAAATATTAAATAAAAGAATGCTACGTTCTCACGCAGTGATGGATCTCGCTGCTTGTGGAAGAAGACAAATTCAAGCGAAAACACTGCTGCGTTCTCAAGCCAGGAGCACACTTGGACCTTTCTGCGTGCGCAAAGAGACGTGTTCGTGCAGAAAGACTGCTGTATGCTCGTGCCTCCAGCACATTGGGATCTCTCTCCGTGCACATGGTACTTCGTGCGACAATCGCGTTGTCACGCCGCGAGCACACCGTGTGCGCAAACTGCTGCTGCGTATGTGACCACGCTTGGATCGTACTCATAAAGGCTTTCTGAAGTGCTAATCTGTTGTACTGCCCCTGGCAACCTGGAGCCGTGACCTCAAGAGCTCGAGCTGCACGGTGAGGCGGGTGCGGATTTGTTTACCCTGCCTCCGCACATGCTTTTGATGCCCTTATGACGAGTGTGTGCCTGTTGGCTCTGCTGATGCAAAGGAGCAGGTCCCCAGAGACGCTCAACAACAAAAGACTGAACGTCAGTATCCTGTATAGTAGTTGTAGTTGTGAACCAGGAAGTTTCACGACCCAGAAAGATGAATCGAGATGTAGTGTCATCCAAGCACAATGTGAACCTCAGGTAGGCTTAACACGAGCATCTGCAGATGGGTGTGGTGGTGTGAGGATTTGCCCAGAGGCGAACTTCGGTCTTGCTTCTGCAACCACGAGATGACGCCTCGTGCCTTCTTTCATTTTCATAGTCCACGAGGTGTCGGTTTTGTGGGGGGGAGGCGTGACGCGGTAATGATGCTCCCGGTGCACGTTCAGCGTTCGCCTGCCAGCCCTATGTGCAATGTAGTATGCGCTGTTTGAGCTCGGCCTCACGCTCAAGATCAGCATGCGATCAGGAAATGTAGCTCAGGCAATGGGTCGAATGTTTATTGATACCAAATGACGTCCACGCGATTTTTGCTATGCGCGATGTCAGCACTTCTCTTCTCGAAGAGCTGCGCCGCCCTGTGACAAGATGTACGAAGTTTACCCAAGCACCCGTTCCGAACAGCACCAGCGCGATATGCGACAGCTCAACAGCATTGCGCAGCCCAGCGGCCTTGGCAAATGGTTGCCAGATGTGGCATCGCTCACCCAAACACCAGTCATGGACTGGTCAGCACTGTTTCGTTCTGAGAGCCCGAGACCCTTCGGTGCACACAACTCAAGCTGAGGAAGGTGAACACACTTGCTCTCCCAGATGCTGCACACAATACGTGCAGATATGCGCGGGGGAAGGAGAGCGTCTGCGCACACATGAGTCATACGTGGCCACCGTGGCACACACCTTGTGCGCTTAGCTGATGCTGAGTGCTTTGTGGCATTGTGCAGCTCTTGGACTTTGGAGCCGCAAAGATCACAGACGACACGCTGAAGGCACCGGTTCCCGCAGTCGGTCTTGATGCTGAATCCAAGATCTAAAACTCTAGTTGATTGCTACTGCGTGCGTGCAGAGGCGCATACCGTCGTGGGTACACTGCTCTATGCGGCCCCGGAGGCCACTTCAAAGTCCTGCTTGTCCTTGGCACAGCTATCTTGCCGTCCCAGGTGTTTGAGGGCACCTATGGAAGGTCTTGTGACCTGTGGAGTACGTACCTCACAAGCTGGACGTGACGTGCTGGAAGCAGTGTCGGGTGTCGGAGTCTGTCGGAGGCTGCGGGGTTGTGATCTTCTTGTTGGTGTCCGGCCATCTGCCTTTCCAGGCAAGGCCCGGCAGTGCCCAGGCCAATACTGTGCAAGCGCAGCCTCGCAGCTTAGACCTCGGACGTTACCATGCTGCGCAGCATGCACCGGGATCCAGCTCAGATCTCAGAATCAACGGAAAAAGCATGCCCTGGACACACCAAGCGTGTAAATTTTTGTACAAATGATTGTACATGCAGACATGCACATGCCCAAGTGCAGTTGCACAAGCCTGTTTGTGTGAGTCTCCCTGTGCAAATGCGAGACAGACAGACACCCACACCCACACCCACCCCCACCCCCACACGCACCCCCACACCCACCCCCACACCCACCCCCACACACCCACCCCCACACACCCACCCCCACCCCCACCCCCACACCCACCCCCACACCCCCAAACCCCCAAACCCCCAACAGCCCACAGGTGACGGTGCGTAACACGCTCACCCACACAAACGCAAACACTCTCTCGCACAAAGGCGCATACACACACACACACACACAAACAGACAAATAGTTTGACAAACAGACAATCACACGAGCAGACAAACAGACAACACACAAACAAATAGAAACGCAACGACAAAAACACCTAAACACAAAAACGCATAAGCACACAAGCACACAAACACAAACACAAAGACCAGTACACACACACACACATTCACTCACTCACTCACTCACTCACTCACTCGCTCACGCCCGCAAACACACAAGCGCACAAGGAGACAAACACTCAAACAGACAAGCACACAAACAGGGAACACACACAGACAGACGAACACTCGAAAGCACGTACGCGCAAAAACGCCATCAGGCAAGCAAGCGAACAAGCAAGCAAACAGACACACACACACACACAGAAACAGACACACACACACACACATACCCAGTCTGAGCTGGTTGTCTCGAATCGTCATCTTTCTCTTCACGCTTCGAATTGTGCACTCTTTCTGTACCGCTTCGACAAAGGTGGTCTTCAGAGCTTCAAAATTACTGGAATGTCTAAAGATGCTCTACAACTTCTTCTACCAGCCAACTACATAGAACGAAGTACTCAGAAAACCAAGTAGAACAGAAGGTAGAATTGGGTTACACAAGTCTGTCTGTAGTCTCAAGACTACATGCTCACGTAGATGTCTTCTTTTCTGACATCACTGCAGGTACGTCAGTCCAGCGTCCCAGACTGATTTCAGTGCCTAGTCAGAGCCTCTTCGTTGGGCAATCACTCTGACTGGGCAGATTGCCCCCCTGCATTCAACATTACTCGCTATCTCCGATGGTCTTCAAAGATGAAAAGTCTTCAAAAAGTCTCTTCCTTAGAAACAGGAATTCCACACACACCTACCCGGTCTGTGCCGGTTGACTAAGAAATCGAAGAGTGGTACTATGGTACACCTGATTTTGATTCTGATGCAGGGCGCAAGTAGCAATCTACGTATGGAGGACGTATGGAGGAGCTCTAGCGCTGCTACCCGTTGCTTCAGATTGTTGATTTCGTTGGTGGTCGTCTCGATGAACTGTGCAAGCATCTCTCGGAAGTTACTATCGAGAGTCATCGAAGATGCTGGTGAGTCGGTGCCCGATTGTTCCAAAACTTCGAGAAGGGCCTGGGCCAACCATTCACGACGTGCTGCGGCGTCTTGAGGGGACTGTGCCGACGACGACGCACGAGGAGACGCTGCTTGTTCGGGAACATCTTGCTGTCGATCGCTCATGGTAAATGGACGCAAGAGGCAGCTGTCTAAACGCTGGATCAAAAACAAACGGCTGCAATTCCGAAACCGCAATCAGAACAACGAACGTTGGTTACAACAAACACTACTGAACAGGTGAGCCGTAGATTTTGTAAACTCTTTACGGCACATCCGGCTGCGTGATGGCTAACTGTGTATCCAGCAGTGCTGATTGCTGCTGCGTTGAGAAATGTGTGAGAACCTCCTGTACAAGACCTCTAAGCGTGGTCTGGGTTTCCTGTATCTTACTGCAAAGATCTGTCACTGTATTGGCAATCTCTGTCATTTCAGCCGAAAATTGGGCTTGCTGTTGAGCAAGCTCTCTGATTTGAGACTGCAACGAGTCAAGCTGACTCTGCTGAATACGCTCAGTTGAAGTAATCTGCTCAAACTGATGTCGGCAGTCTGCTCGAAGAGACTGCAACTCGCCTTGAGTGTACTGCATCCAGCGCTGAAGAGGTAAAAGCGGATCCAGTGCTGACCCGAGGATATCGGCACGTTGCATGGCAAGTCGAAGCAAAAGCCACAAGACACTTGAGCAAGAGCTACAAACAGGCTTGTACACGTAGAAGCAACAGGCAGCAGGCAGAAGCAGACAGTTTGTTTTTTGTCCGTCTCTTTACAGGTATGGATCTTCGCGCACGTCGCTAACATGAGGCGTGAATCCACAGCTTCGGAGAGAAGCTAAATCGGCTTCAGAGAGTCTCCAAGCGGAACGAATGTGAAACGCAATGAGGATTGTTCGGGTTCCTTGCCAGGGTAAGGTAGCATGTCGTAACCTAGGATCAAAAGCAAGGAAAGGTAGCTGAACTGGTACAGCATTTCCCGGTACATCATTAAGGGTAATGGTGCCTTGTGGATGCTCAATCCAAAGGTGTCCATCTTCAAAGACAGACAAAGGAATGATATGGTTGTTGAATAAGGCATGATTGTGAGAATCACGATGCATACGAGCAACACAGTTGCGATTGATGGACACCGATGAAAAAATAAGATTCGGGACTTGCGTCCGAGCGACACAAACTAGCAACCGGGTGAGCCAGGGATAAACCCTCAACGCAGAATGAAGACCAGCATGAGGACCATGTGTGTAAGCGCCGGAGAGAAGAGATGTAGAAGGCACCGAGCCACAGGCGATGTCATCCGGTTGGAAGATGGACCGATCCGAAAGCACTGAGGATGGTAACGTATCCAGTACACGATCGAAATCCGCAAAAGTAACGCGATCTTGTAGGAGTACTTCTCTGGCAACGAGGTCCGTCGAGTTAGTCGGCTCAGGTAGGGTCAGCTGCGTTGACAAGAGATTCCGTATCGACGAAACATCAAAGAAGCTGCTTGCTTCAAGATCCCCCTCGCTAGAAATGTCGAGGATGGTGTTGTGCGTGGTTGTAGTTCCCATAGATGCCGACGGAGGGCTGAGTGCTGAAGGCTCCGGAATTACGGCATTAGGATACCAAGGAAGTCGCAACACTCTGCCATCGGGTAGGCGCAGATCTAGCGACATAATGCTGAACCCAAAGACTACGAAACTACAAAGGTAACAGAAAGGCATCTCAAAAGGAGCACACACTAGATTTTGCTAGCGAAGTAACGCTGGGTCAAAGCCCGCCTTCAAAAACAACTGTGTGAGAAGTCTAAGCTGATCTACACGATCTTCAGGAGGCCAAACATGACGAAGGATGCTCAGTTTCTTCGAAGTGAAAGCAGCAAGCTTTTGATGTAGAGGTCCTGCACTTTGTGGAAGTCTGATTTTCCAGGGCTCGTCTCTGATCAGTAGGTGAAGTCTAGATTCAACAGAGATGAAGTCGAAGCCTAGGAATTCCTGGTCGGCGTCGTTAGAGATGACTTGCTCAAGCTCAACTGGCGACTCGTAAAACATATCCGAGAATAAGTGCTGCAAGGCTGAGTAATGCGAGTGATCGGCACTACAGATAAGCAACCTATTGTCCACATACCGCACGCAATAGAAATGCGGCACTCGCCGAAAGACATGCTGGTGCTCCTCCATGTAACGTTGTTCTAATAGCGATACGGTAAGGTTCGCAAGCATAGGAGAGATTTGATTGCCTATAGTTGCTCCTCGCTGTTGTCGAAAAACTTTGCCCATAACTGTGAAAACGCTGCATTCGCAACTAAGACGACAGATCGCCACAATGTCTTGTAGATACACCAAATACGTCTTCTGGGCGCCTTTGCGTGGACGACCCTTCCATACCCGTAGCTTGGAATCTTGCAAATCCAATCGAACTGAGAACACATCCTGGGTAATGTCAGCACGATGTTTGCGAACATAGCGTTGAACCACCTCACCAACACTGTCCAGTATTCGTTGCACAGGTATGGACGTAAAGAAACCAATAAGGTCTTGATTATGTACCTCAGCAGAAAAGTCATCAGGTAGCTGTTGCATAAAGGCTGTCAGCTGTCCTAACATTTGCGGCAATGTTGCGAGTCCAAACGATAAGGGACAAACATCTCGAATGAGTAGGTCCAAGACAATAGATGTGGCTCGAAACAGGCGAGCATACACAAAGAAGCTGTAGCTGATAATGGGGCGAGCCACGCGATACTGCTTCTTGCGCTTGAATAAAAGATACGCAATGGGAAGACTGCTAGTACGAAGATTGATTCCCCATTTGTACTTGTTGAGAAAAGATCTCTTGGTTGACTCCTGAAGGAAGACGCTAGCTTGAGATACATACATGTTCAGCTGCTCATAGACCTGTGTATCGCCAAAGGTGGACTTGTACACGGTCCAAGCAAAGTACGGACAAAAGATATGTGTATGCGTGATAGCATGATCTCGACCATGGACAAAAAATCCGTCAAGAATGTTGCGAAGGTAGAGAACATCTTTATACTTCAACGCAGCAAAAGACTCTTGAAGATGTTGAGACCATTCTTGCTCCACAAAATCTGCCCACATCTGAAAGGTGACATCGAACAAGCCATAATGATTGCACCACTGTTGAACTGCTTTCCATGTATCCTGTAGATAACTGGCTTTCTTGGGGTAGACTTGTGAATCGGCAGAGTACTGCAGGTAGCGCTTCAAACGTGCAGAAACATTGAGTAACGACGCTGGGCTCGCTATATGACCATCCACTGTCTCCAGGTCTGGGTGTTCCAGCTTCCACCGTCTGCAAGAACAAATAGGAGGTTGGTCCCAAGTCCAGGATGAAGCAGTTGCAAGGTTGTTGTATAATACAGAACGAAAAGAACAGTGCTTTCCTGCTACAACCGTCTTGCTGGGTAGATGAAATGGAATCAGGTAGTCTTTATACCGCAGGGTGTTGCGACGGATCCAATCTTTAACATGGGCAGCATACGTAGAATGCGCCAAAAGTGGCAAACATAGAGGCTTGCAACAGCGAGGGA